GAAAAGGATGTGTACTTGATTCCTTACAGAACAAGTATAGTTTTTCCAGTGGTGAACTGTTTCAACAATTTCAAGTGTTTACTAGTTCATTAATATATTTCATTAAACCTGAAGAAAACACCCAAGCAGAAAATCAAGGCTTCATACAACATTTGCAGTGTAAACCCATTATTAGTGTCGTCCTGTGTATTGTCTCACCCACATTCCCCATCCATGTGCTTTCTCCCATCTCCTCCTCTGCAAAATTGTGCTGCCTTGCAGGCTGGGATTCTAGTTAATAGTTACTTTTGGATCTTACAGAACCTTGGACCAAGGTCTGTGGTGACGCCTGCAGTACTGGGTGCTGTACAAGTGCAAAAAAGAGTAGCCCTTGCTCAGAGGAGTTTCCATAGATCTTATAAATATACCAGCATCAGCCACAATGCCTTGTGACACCACTTAATTAGCTGCTGCACTGGCTTCCAAAACTGAAACGTTCCTGAAAACTGGAGATGCTTTATCTTGTGCTTTAAGTGTAAGTTTCACCTCCAGGTCTGAAAGTGTTTGCTGTACGGCAGAGAGAAAAGCAGACAATGGTCACTGTCTCAGTCTGTGGGGTTTGGATATTAAAGTGAACTACTGAAGTGGTCTCTTCCCATAGCAGCAGGGTCACAGGGTAGGTTGTGGACCACCACAGCCAGGACCCCACCAATTTGGGGGGGGGTTTCCTCACTCAGACAGTTCATCTGAGCAAGTTGCCACAAGCTAAGGAAAATCATGGGAGTGGGATTAGATTGGTACATGTGCACCTTGCACATGAGAAGAGCCATCCAAATTGCTGTCACTGGCATCTCCCTTATGAGGGCTCAGCACCCAGCATTGCTTCTCCATGTGGGCACCTGCAGGGTGAAGGCATCTATGAGATCTTCTAATTTGGGGGGGGGGTTTCCTCACTCAGACAGTTCATCAGCAGGGAAGAGGTAATATTTTCTCCAGCACTATCACCTGCTGGGAGGTGAGAGCAAAAAAGGGGGAGGTGGGCTCACCTTCCCATGTACTGCAGTGTCCAGCATCAGTGAGGAGCACATTCTGCCTCCAATTTGAGGCAGAAAAAGAGAGACAGGAGCCCTCAGAAGGAAAACAAAACTTTTAGAAAGCTAATAAACAGATAATACTCATGTAAGTACTTCCTTTTCCAAAACACATTTGCTTCAAAGGGACTGGTCAGACTCCAGTAAACTTATTGATGAAGGAGGCAGAGAAGGAAGAGGGTCTTCAGCTTGATCTTGGTGTGGACTTTAACAAAAATGCTTCCTTTGCACACCACTGCCTGCAGTGCAATGTGCAGCTGCCTGCTGCTGCAGAGCCAGAGCTGAAGCAGTAAAATCACCTTTTCTGGCCTCCAACAGCTCCTCTGGGACTTGAATCAGACTCTACGGCCTTGCCCATGAACCCCTGTGAGACAATTAGTGTCCGTGCAATGGGCGACTCCATGGTACAGGAATGGCTCCTCGGCTGTGGCTGGTGGATCCTTGACTTGGCAGTGGTGGCAGTTCCCACCTTTAACTACTCCTGCAAAGTCCCAGTGCTCCTGTGTTAGCACCATTGCAATTCAAAATATATTTCTGCTAGGGAGCAGTAAGCCTGGAGTGCCTGACTATCTCCTAACCTTCCCTGTTCCTGCTTCTCCTACTTCAAAATCTTGAAGTTAGGGATCTAGCAAGGAAAACAGTGTGGTGGATCCAAGGTAAGAATCTAGCCCTGCATTCCTTCTGTTTCTACCACCAGTTGGTTACAGAGAGCATGTTACCCCAGAGATGTGTGTGATGGCGTCCTCACTATAATAAAAAAGGATCCAAACCATTCCCTTTTCCCTAAAGCTGGAAAGCTCAAAGTATGTGAAAAGTCAAGATCCAGATTCTGCCTGTAGAATTACTGCTCCCTGAGCAGATTTCTCATGTCCTTTCTCTCTGTTTTATGGCTTTTCTATAATAAATAGGGAGCAAAGGCTGAAAAAACAATATAGCCCATAATTTCTGCTCTCCTCTGGCTGTAAACTGTAAGGAACTGAAATCAGTAAATTTACAGCAGCATAGCTGAAGTCAACATTTGACCCTGCATTTCCCCCGTCACCTCATCTTCCGTAGCAAAATGTTCCTGCTAAAAAAATGCTGAAGCTGTGAGGAGGAATTCAGTCCACACCTGAGCCTGCAGTGCTGGGCTGTGCCTTTGTTGGGAGGGCTTGGCACTAGGAAAGAGAAAGGAATACACGTAGTGTATAGCTTCTGTAAAAGTTGGTGTTTAGAAGAAAAATTTTGCCAATATTTCAAGGTGGGCAAAATGGGAAATATTTCTTCAGCTATGATGTGGCCCCACAGCCCCAGCAAAAAATCAATGTGCTGGTGGGGACCCAGCACAGCTCCCTTCATTGGCAGGAATCTGCCCAGCAAGCCCAGAGCTGGGATGTTTGCTTCTTCAGGCCGTTCCCCTTTGGCCTTTACTGAAGGGAAGGGAGGGTTGAGTTGCAGTGTGCTTTCTATTTACATTTTCCTCAGCTTATCTCCAATCTGACCAGGATGTAACATTTTTTAAAGCATATGAGCCAATGTCCGCTGAAGAATCTGGCTGCTTTGGAGATGCTTTCAAAAACCAGCCAAGCCTCACAGCACAGGAAGGTGTGGGATCTGGGGAATGTAAAGACTTGTAGAAGTATGCATTTACAGGACCACAGGATCCATTATACCTCAGAATGGTACCTCCATGGTGATAAGGCACTCCCCAGAGCCCTCAAACCCTCAAATATTTCTTTGCTGAACCCTCAGCTTTGTCTTCCTGCACAGCCAGTCAGTATTGTCCATGCAAGAGAGGTGTGCAGCTTTGGAAGATCTATAATCATAGGTGGAATCATGCTCTGAAGTCATGCTTTCCAACACAATTGATGGATCATGAGTTACTGCTCTTGTCTCTATGGTGGCAGAGCTACAGTCTGAGCAATCTCACACAGAAAATAGAGGGCAAAACTTCATAGCTGTTAGATACAGGGCCAGATCATTGCAGCCTTTATTCAGACTTCGCTTGAGCAGAGTATGTTATTTTGCAGTGGTGTGTTTGGTTGGAAATGGAGGCCTAGAGCTCCTAATTTGAGATTGGCCATTTGGAAAAAAGTGCTTCAGATTCTCTTTTTTAAATGCTCATGTGCAGGAAAAGTTGCCCACAGTTATCTCAGTACCTACAAACTGGAATGCTCAATTACTGAGCCACTACAGGTACATGATTCTAGCAGTGAACCACACAAGTTAGATATGAAGACAGCCAGATAGGAAATGTATTTTACAGGCTCTGAAAGCCAAGTGTGTGAGGTGGGTGTGCACTGGCAGTCACAGCACTTTCCAGATGAGCATCTTGTGGTTATAATGTCACATTGCCCCACTGAAACCAGGGGCCCCAGGGCCCTGTTGTGATGAGGAACTCATGGAGCTGTGATTCTTATGACACTTCTCTATTGTCTCCCTTGGATGTTGTGTCACTTGGGTGGGGAGCAGCCTCTGGTTAGTTCCAGTTCCTGAGTGCAGGCAATTCCCTTTCTCTTGCATCCTGTGGCATTGTGGAACCACTACGTCAACTTCTTTCCCAGCAAAACCCAAAGCAAATAGCTTTGCATCAAGGATGAATCTGACCTTTCCTTCTTAATAGCTCCAAAGGCGAAAGATCAGAGAAAAACATGTCAAGATCCATGACTATATTGATGTTCGGTTGTGTCTTTCATCTAATAGAAGAGGTCTTATTTCCTCATCCTGAAACTTTCTCAGCTGAGAGACTCAAACTTGCAATTAACTCATTCTCTGGTCAAGTAAGTTTGGTTTCTTGGAGGGGAAGAAAGAAAAATAGTAAAATAGAAGACATAACCTAGTAAGGCTGTCTGGCTAACTCCACACAAGGAGCATCAAAGACTTGCATGGCCTTCTTTTACGATACATGCAGACAAACTGCTCCTCAAGTATTGCTCCATCTGAATGAGGAACATTAGTTTAATAGTTAAAAGCAGGGTCCAAAGGAGGCTTCATTAAATTATTAATAAGCCCCCCAAAACTCAGCAAAAATTCGTGATACTTAATAACATGTAGGTCAGGTAAACATGCAAACTGCTTCCCCAAGGTGATATTAATCTCAAGCCTTTGCAAGCTGAAAATTGCCTAGATTGTGTTTGCAGTGATGCTGGCTCCACCTCTGCCACGGATGCTGCTGTTCCCATAGCAACTCACCATCTCCCATATTAGGCTTTCCCTTCCCTTTGATCAGACAAGATAATTCCCAGATACAGAATGAGCTAACAGCATCCAGGGGCAGTGCAGTTTGCATTAACACTTCTTCAGGGGGAGCACACCACTTGATACTTGCCCTCTGCAGGCTGTTGTAACCACTGTCACTTGGCTTCACCTCCTCTCAGAGATGGTGTCCAGCCCACCCAGTGCTCCAGGCTAGCAATGAGAAAAGGCAGAACTCTGCAAAGCATATGCTCCAGACACTGGAAAAGGCTGTGTCCATGGCCCATTAAGTTTATATCGACCATATCTAGTCTGCAGAATGTTTCCGTTTCTTGCCAAGACTCTCTGTAGCAGTTGGCTCAGTACAGTTGCCCCAGCAGCTATGATCCATGGGGTAAAAACTGATTTACCAGGATGCAGGGACCTGCCATCCCTACAGCAAGGAAAGAGAGCCCTTCTGCCCTCCTTACCCTGATGTTGAAAGCTGCAAGAGATTATAGATTGGTGCTCTGTCTTGAAGAGCAGGTAGAAAAACAGGCGAGTATAATATTTTTTTTAAACCAGATCATGGACAGTATGTCACTTTTAAAGTGTTCTGTGTGCTTCCTCTGTATATCTGCAGCGCTCTTTCTCTTGAGAGATGATGGCAGGAAAGGTTAAGTTAAGACAGTAACAGGCATGTTTCTGCTAAAGCCTTTCTCGACTGCAACCACTGCTCGGAATGACTTGGATGTGTTCTCTCCTTTTCCCCTACAGTTGGTCATGGGCAGAGCGAGGGGGATCGTATGGTTGTCTCAGATTTCCACGTCTTCATCAGGGACAGCCTGCAGCACGTTGATCTCATGAAGAAAGAGTACCCTGAGCTGCCTGTTCTCATTCTGGGGCACTCCATGGTAAGCACCATCCTCTACCCCTCTGGGCAGCACCCAGGCCATGTGCCACAGCATGGTGGTACTCTTGTGGATGGCAGGAAATAACTTGGCCCACAGCAGGAAAAACAGAACTACAAGTGACCTTCCCTACTGTTTCATTCACTGCCCAAGTTGCCAGCATTCCTTACCCCACAGGATCTGCCTTGAGTATAATCAGTCCTCAACTTTTCCACCTGGACCACAGCCCTAATTAGCACCATTTGTGACAATGGTCCCTATTTTATGATAGGATCGTTCATTCACACTGGGTACATAGTAAGTCCCACCACCTCCCTACAACATTTGGCTTCTCCTTTCATTTCCACCAGTAATCAGGAGGTTAAGCCCTTCAAAGCTTTGTGAGCAGCTAGGGGCTGAAGCACGAAAATACCCTGTAGCCTCATTTCATTAAACAACCTAACAGGAAAATGTACCAGGGATTAGGGCTGCAAAAACAAAGGCACTGATTTGGTGAACAGATCTGAAGTCTGATTCTGACAGCACGGGCCAAATCCCTTCATTCAAGCTAGCAATATTCCCACTGATGTCATTGATCTGCTCTCCCTGCCTTCCCGGAGGAGAGGAAAATGAATAAGTACTTTAGGATTCAGGCCATGCTCAGATAAACAAGTGTTCTTGCATAAGAAGGCATGGCATGCTCTGAAGTGCTCACTGTGCTCCAAAGCCTCTGTAACAAGGAGCTAATTTCCCAGTGAAGTCTTTGAGATGCCTCTTGCTGCTGCTCTATTTAACAAGCCCCTGTTTCCAGCAGCATGGAAGTTCACCAAATATTTCCCTTGGCAACTAATCCTCTGCAAACTTTACCCAGCAAGCCAGCCAGGTCCCTCCTGTCCCCTGCCCCTCACGCCACCAGCCCCTGTCCTCATGCAGGAGAGCTCAGCCCGGCTGGCCTTCAGCTCAAACCCATGGGCTGGGTGTTCACTGTCAGGCCTTGGGCACAGCACTGGGAGGCTGGAGGGGCTGGGGACACTGAAGAGGAGAATATTTCACTTCCAGTAATTAGTGTTGCAATTGCAGCATTGCTGTTGCCCAGGTTACCAGTGCCACCAGCACGGGGCGAGCCCAGCTGAACCACATCTTCCCCGCACAGCACCAGTCTGTCACACTGATAAAGCCTCAACTGAAGTTTCAAGTCCACCTGCACTACCACTTCAGACATAGTCTTCTTAGTCCTTTTAACTGAGGAGGACATAAGGCATCCTAGGGAGCTGATGGACATTGCACGGAGAGTTGAGTTCAGGGGAATGTCAGGGTTTACAGCACGAGAGCAGAAACCAGGTCTCTTCTCCCCCCCAAAAAAAACAGCCGCTCCTAATGAGCCTGATCCTCCAGCCTTCCTCACTGGCCACACTGCACTCTCACTGGGGCAGAAATAAGTTGCTTGTTTGGACTACAACCTTTCCAGTAATAGGATTGCTATATAAATAAGATGTTGACACCTGTATTAAGCTGTGGGCTGTTATTTTGCATTGCAGGGGGGAGCCATCTCCATTCTGACCGTTAGTGAGAGACCCAGTGAGTTTTCAGGCATGCTGTTAATCTCTCCTTTAGTGGTAGCCAGCCCAGAAGTCGCCACTCCCATCAAGGTAAGAGCAAACCCACATTGCACCTGGTCACCTCACTCCTCAGCTGAAGGACACACATTAAGATCTCAAGCCTTAACATGCAAAACCCCACTGAGATCTGCACCACTAGGATGCCAGTCAACACTTCTCTAAGTGCCTCCCCTGTAGTCCCACGTGCTTTTCAGAGGGGAAGTGAATCCTGAACTCATCCAGAAAACCTTACATAAATGAGAGTTGGAGAACGATGCTACCTCAGGAGGTGGTAGCAGACTGTACTTTCTTCACCACACCCTGTGGCAGCCCACACAGCGCCGTCCTTTCCCTTCCCCTCCTGCAGTTTTCTTCCTGACTCATACAGAGTCTGGTATCGTTGCAACACAGGCTGCTGGCTAAGTCAGGCCAGGGTTATTTCTGGCGTTTGGGGGATGACCAGTTTCTAAACAAAACTAGAGCTCTTGAGTCCTAGGAAAGCTTTGCGAACCTCAAAGGAGTCTCCCAGGTAAAGCCGCACTGCCCCACCAGCATCCCATGGCTTGATTCCATAGCTGGTCCTTGTCCAGACCATCTGCTTTGGTTTGTATTTAGGCTTTAGCCCCCTCCCATTCACATCTCTCTTCCAGAGCTATTTCTGATCCAAATATGTGCTGCCCACTTTGCCCTTCCCTAGGGAGGCCCCATAAGGCAACTTGACTCTCAGCTCTCCCCTCTGGAGTTTTAAAAGAATAAAGAACAACCCTAAAAGAAGCTGGAAGGAAAGGGAAGGACTGGCTAAGCCAGCAGGAAGGAAAGACCATCTCATTCCCATGAGACTCTTGCCTTTATCCTTTCTCCCCAAATTCTTCTCCTCAAACTGGCTTCTTGTCTTCAGCTACTTCTAAGCTATTTCTCCTGCTTTTTATTCTTCTGAGAGAAAGGAAACATTTCCTCAGCTTTCGGTATAATCCTGTTGCACTTCCTGCTGTAGCCAAAGCCATCTGCTGACCCCACAAGCCATTACAGGCACCAAAAGGGGCTTTTTAATCACCTCATTCTTCCGCTGAAGGAAACACTTGAAGATCTCTAACCTTAACATGCAAAACCCTTCTGAGTTCTGCACCACCAGGATGCCAGTCAATATTTTCATTCCAAGTGCATTCCCCTCTCCTTTTCATAGGGGAAGTGAATCCTGAAGTCACACCATCCAGGAAAGCTTTTACAACTAAGAATCAGAGCACCAAAGTGTGCTATTATTAGGCTGGTAGCTGATTGTTCACAGGTGAGGCTGTACCTGAATCAGCATAAGGGTCCCACAAGCACAGGTGCCCCTGTTTTTTCTTACTTTGGAGAGGGAAAAATAATAAATATTCAGAAAAAAAAAAATAAATAGAGTCTGGATCTGAAATCTGAATCTATTAGCCTTGTGTTTCTAGTAATGTCAAGGAAAGTATGGAAAGATCTTCCTTCTTCTAGAACTGTACCTTTTGCTAGATGCTAAACCCTTCCTGAAGTGAGGACTCTTCTAGTTCTGTGGGAACTAGTATTACTCCAGTCTGGTTTCTTGTAGGTCTGTACCAGATCATTACTTTATTTCACTGTAGGAAATGCTGTTCTCTAACTGAAGTATTTTGGAGATTATTACATGGTCTCTTTCCTAGAAAGTCTCTTGCATGCAGTTCTACAAGTGCACAGTGAGTTTATTTCTGTTTCAGATCTATTATTACATAGATAAAAAATTGGTTAATAAAAAATTAATTATTCCTGAAATATCTCTGCTCTGTCACATTTAGTTGAAATCAGTCCTGGAGTTGAAAAAGTATTTGCAAGAGGAAGGAGTGAGAACAAGCAGAGTAGTCCTGCATAAGACATGTTTCCCCATAAAGCTGAGCTGAAAACACTTCTGTGTTTTGTTTTGTTGTTTGTTGTTGGTTTTTTTTCTTTTCTGAGAGCCAAAAAAACATTTAATTGGTGTTTGTGCCTCTGAGGCACAAAGGGTTTGGTTTTCCCTTGGAACTGGTATGACTTCTCAGCCCAGGGCCATTTCCCAAGGACCATTGCATTCATCCCTTTGCTGGGGAATTTTCCAGCTGAGCAAGAATTTACCTTGGCCTAAACAAACAAGGGCTCAATACAACAATAAGAGTGGGACAGATTAAACACTGAGTCCTTCAGTCTCTGTTAGAAATCCCTTCCCTGGCTGCCCAGCCAGCCCTGGCAGCAGCAGAAACCCAGCATGTTAGCAGACGACGTGCAAGAAAACCAAATTCTGCTCTTTGCAGAAGCACAGTGTAATCTGTGCCCTGTAAATCCTAGGTCCTGACAGAAGCACCTGGTTGCAAATCCAGTGGAGATGGAGGGATCATGCTGCCTTTCCCCCTCTCTTCCCAGCTAATCTGAACAAAATTTGGTTCTCACTCTTCAAAATTTCAAAGGATGCAGAGATGGGAGTCACAGACACTGGCTAAGGGCAGAGTTAAGGGTAAAAGAGCATCTCCCACTGCATTTCTGCTGTTGAATGTTTTGAAATCAGGTGGTCCAGACAATTCCTTAGGAAGTATTCCCTAGTGATTAATCCTATGCAAACTCTCAGCCTATGCCTTAAAGACTAAGTACACAATATTCTCTCTTTCCTTTTTGTGCTTTCCATTTGTACTTTTGCTGATCTGTTGCTTTACAACCCAATTGGACACCATGTTGTCCCAGTACGTGAGAGTCTCCCAGTCATTCAGGCTGAATCTGCACCCAGTAACAGTGCAGAGAAATTTTTCTAAAACATTCAGCCTATCTAGAAGAAAGAATTACGTTAAAAAAACTCTTACTGTGGCTCTGTCCGTTTAGAAGTAAAGTCAGTCATCAGGTTTAGACAAACATATAAATATATATGTATCTCCCTGATAAAACTGTTCAGTTACTCTCAACCTGGTCTCTTCCAGAGACTTCTCAGCTCAGTCAGATGAACCTGAAATGAGCCTGGCTAGCTTAACCAGTTCAAGCATCACATATTTGTTAATCCAGTTCATTTGTAGCTGAAATGATCGAAAGGGCATTCACACAAGCAGTTGTACATCTGAAGTGTCTGTGTGCAGGGCCTGGTGCTTCTCTCTTGTACAGCTGAACACCAGAAATGACTTCTCCAATATCACCAGCCCTGGACAGTACATGCTGCTATGCATGTGGTCAGAAGCCAGCCCTATCTCAGTGGCATTTTAGCAGTCAGCTTGTGACTTGGCTTGGCAGAACTCCAGACACGTGCAAAAACTCGAATAACGTTTCCAAAGCACGTCACAGAGGCGAGGTCATCAGCAGGCTGTGGAGCTGGGATGATAAGCATATATTAGAACAGAAAAATGGCCATGCTGAATCTGACAAAAGTGTGTCTAGCCTGTCTCCAACAAGGAAGAGCCTGAGAAAGAGCATAGATGTAGTTCTCCTTTCCTTGTTACACTTTCCTCACCTTCAGCACAGTGTTAGGCTGGTGTATTGTTGCTCATATGAGAGGAAGATTCAAATTTATGCTCATTCTGCAAAATCCCCATCACAGATCCTTGGCAATATAAATATTCACACACATGCCAAACAGACAATATTGGACTCCCCATCAAACTCATGGCTTCTGGAATTTGCGATGATGTCCTTCCTTCTTCAGCCAAATATAAAAAGGAAGCCAAGTCCCCCTCTTAAAAAATACACGCCAACTTTTACTCTTACATGTCATCTTGGACCTAAATACCTATGGCCTTAATACCAACGTCTTGATCTTGTGGCCAGTACTCTAAATAGATCTTGAGAGAACATCAGCTAACATCTCAAGCCAAGGTATTTCCTCTTGTATAAGCAGTCACGGAGGCACAAGAACTCACCCTAGCTCTTCACTCATGTTCCATCTCTGGAGTTAGCATGAAACAAAAAAAACCCCATTCCTGCTTGTTTGCATCATAAGCTCAAGCTTGCATCAGTGTGGATATGTTATTTTGCTGGTCTAACTCCAGAGACCTCATTAGAAATGAATTTTGCTGACACAATGTCATAGCCAGTGAGGGGCTCAAAATACTAGTAGAAAGTGACCCTGGTTCCTAGCATATCCATCCCAAGGTACATGCATGTTCTTAAATCTGCTGTGAGTCTTTACTGCTTTTCACTCTGGAATGACTTTGACTTTAACCTTGTGTTATTCCTCTAATATCCTAATTACTCTGTCATGTATCATATGCAATCTGAAATGTCAGGAAGTGCTCCAGAAGTGATTACAATTCAGCAGAAACCGAGAACATAGGTGACAGCCTGGCTGCGAGTGTTAGCTGTGAACATGAAAGGGCCATAAAACAGACCAAGAAACACTAATTTTCTGACTTAAGTGGTGATCATGTAATTAAAAACAGCTATCAAAGATCAGAGCAGAACCCTGGTATCAATGTGCTTGTAGTTCTATTGAAATGAAAGACATTACCCTTGCTTCTGCCAACAGTTTCAAGCCTGGGCTGCTTAATGCTTTTGTATTTTGTTCCCAGGAGACAAGTGAGCAATGGATTTTCTTAGCCAATGCATGCACATTTTGCAGTTGTTTATTTACAGGTTCCCTGGAGAATATGCTTATCAGAAAGAGGGTATCCAAGGCAAATTGCACCAAACATCACTCATGCACTGCAGCCTGCAATCAGAGCTGTGGCCACAAGGAAAGGGCAATAAAACAGCAAAATCCAGCTTTTCCAAGGTCTAGAAATGGCATTTTCCTATCAAAGTGCCTTTTTAGAAATTAACTTGAGAAAAAGGGAAAGTGCAACAAAGTTGTGCTGTTGCACATGTACAGACAGCTGATGGTGTTTCAGACCAGCACACCCACCCCCTGATTCCAGGAGCAGTTTAAACACTTTCTCTTGAAGAGAAGTGCTTCAAATTTAGGAAAGATCTTTCTCCAATGTCAGTTGGCATTTCTAAACTATTTAACTTCTGTGTTGATTCCCATCAGCCCAGGATTTGGCCCTCAGTGTTATCTCTCTCACTCTAACTAGCTCTTTAACTGCTTGCTTTCCTCTCCGACAGGTTTTTGCAGCAAAAGTGCTCAACTTTGTTCTCCCAAACCTGTCTTTGGGATCCATAGATCCAAGTGCAGTTTCCCGGAACAAGAAGGAGGTGAGAACCCAAATGCCTTTTATCTTCTTTTTAAAAAAGAAAAAAAAAAAAAAAACACAACAAAAGAAAAAGTGTTTTACTGAATCATGAAGGTAAGATCTATGATGGTGTAAAAAGGTGAACCATCTCTGAAGTCAGTGGAACCAAGTTTACACCTAGCAGAAAGAGCTTGGTTCACTATGGGACATCAGCTGTTCTTCTCTTCACAACCACTCTGGCTACAAGAAACAGAATCATAGACACATACCCCTCTATGAGAAAATTATGGCTTATAGATAAATATATCTATATCCCATATATATGAGTGTAGAGACCTGTGCTATGGTTGTGTTGAAAAGCACTTCAGAAGGGTGTTTGTCTCCTCCACCACAGCTCAATTAGAAGTGAACTAAGTTACCTTGTCTGGAGAGGTGAGTGACCAAGAACTTGGTGTATTTTAGAAATCAACTTGAAGGATAGAAAATGGCACCCAAAGCTGTGTCAAAAGCAGGAGTGCTTCACTGGCGTAGTCGTCAGTATTTCCTGAGATCCCACATCAGCTCATGTCTCACTGGCAGATGCTGTCATTTTTCTTGCAGTTCATGCAGTTCATATCTTAAGTAGAAGTCAATAAATTGCCTTCCTCCGGGCAGGCAGCTCAACCAGCATGAAAGGATCAGCAGCAAAGACTATGTCAGCAGCTGTGTAAGTGCAAGGCAATATCAGCCTCGGTATATCCCACCTCTTTGACTCACCCATTTGCTGAACTGGAAAGTGAGAGCCTCCCAAGATAACCTCCAGGCATTCAGGGTTGTTTCTTGGTTCTGCCAAAGAGGTTTTTGGTCAAACAACTTTTAGTTCACTTATCTGTTGAACAGAGCATGACATTTCACTGGGTGGGAGGCAGAAAGATCCAAGGAGCTAAGAAAAGGAAGACAAAGTAGGTTCTAGGAGACTGTCAGGATGAGCAAGAAGTGAGCTCATCTGCAGCCACTGATCCATATGACATGTTCTTAAGTACCATATGAGGCTGCACAAAATAAATATACTTGGGAAGAAGGCTGATTCCAGTCAAGCTATAGAAACCTTTTCTTAATTACATTCGGCTGCTCTAACTTGTATAAAATTCAGAGAAAATATTTAAATTAGAGAACTAATTCACTAAAAGGAAGGTTCTCACTTCTGCATTTGCATAAAAGCAATCACTGGTCTGGAGGAGGGGAAGAATTTGAGAGTGTTACCCCCTACCTGAAGAGCAAGTGTGGCTGGGACACGTGGCTCTTTGCCTACTCCTGCACTGATGTGTCTAGTGGCACTTGAGCTCTGTGCTGCAGCTGGTTCTTAAGGGCAGCAGTTTTAAATATACCTCCAACAGCTGGATCCTGTGCTGGAAGACACTAGTGCTGCACTAAATAGCTTTACAGGAGAAAAGTGCTGATGTGGGAACATCCCAAATAAGAATGCATTTTGAAAAGTGTCAGTGAGCTCTCTTTGATTTGGTGTACAATATTCACTGAGCATTTCCATGTAGGCTGTTGGGCTGATGTTATGAATCACCACAGCAACCACTGGACATAGTTTATAATAAATGCGGTTCTGTTGTCTTTCTACACAAATATTTGCTGCTGCTCCCTCTGCTCTGTGATGCTCCAAGTCTCAAGAGCTTCTTTCGAATGTCATTGTTTTTCCTCTGCCCTTTTCATGGAGCAAGGAATTTTTACAGTGGATAAAAATATAGGTCTGCTTCATTCAAGTCTACTTATAAAGGAGTAGTCTTCAAAATGAGACAAGAAGCCCCTCCTTGCTGTGCTGCCCACACACCTGCAAGTGAACACCCAGCTGACATCACAGCTGTGGACTGGCATGTGAAAAGCAGGATCTGAGGCTCCAGCCACTTACTGAAGTCAACGCAGCATCTTGGTCCTCTGGCTGCCTCTAATGCACACTCCACCCTCCTTTTGGACTCAAGATGCACAGCTTCAAAGCACACAATGTGCTGGAAACATCCATTATTTAAATGTTAAACATATTCTACTGCCAGACCAACTTTCTATTTTCTAGAAATATTTTTGGGACATCATCCAAGAATTTCCTGATGAATTTGTGTTCCCAGCAGGCTGTTCTCAGGGTGTAGGGACTGAAACACAGGATGGTTTGAGATGTTTGTTTGATCTGCTTGCTATATCAAATGCAAGAGACACAAAAGAGAGCAACAAGCAACCTTAAAAACCCAGCAAGTGCTGTTATTCCAAGGAGGAATAACATAATGGGGGTGGGCACCCCTTTACTCCATTAATCTTCGTTAGTTGCCATTGAATTCAGTGGAATAGTCCTCCTGACTTCAGTCTTGTTCCTGCAGAGCCCACATAGGATGAGGCTGTAATTGCCTTATAATGAATTGCTGTGCAAAATGCAAAGGGAAGATACAGACCTCTAAGCAGGGGAGCACAATACAGCAGGGGCCCTGATGGCTGCTTCTGTCTTAGCACTACACAAAGGGAAACAAGAGCTGTGGTGATGGACTGCAGAGCCTTTGTTGGATCGTGGCTGGAAGCAGGCTCTCCTGGGATCACCCTCACTCACTTGTCCCCGCTGTCCCAGAGCTCAGTGTGCCAACAGGAGTTCTGGGATTACAGGGTTTGCAGTTCATAGCTTGCAGAATATACAGCCCATTCCCTCTCTGTCTCTCTTTCCCCAGCAAGCTGCTCTTTGCACTCTCCCCATGCACTGAACGTTAACACTGACAAGGATTCCTGTTCATTTTGCTGGGAACAGGATCCTCCCCTGCAGTCTCGATCGACCTGGGTTAAGACTGAGTTACTATTTTTTTCCCCTCCCATCATCTACACAAAAATATTTGTTGGCTGCTCAGTAGCTAAAAAATCCCTGTTCCTTCAGAAAAGAACAAGAGGAAGAAAGAAAGCCATTAGGTCATTCTCTTAGCACTTCTGGGGCTGGGGAGGGGGCAGGTCATATGAATTCATCAACATTGTTTTACTCCATGGGAAGGGAACTTCTGTCAATCCATCCACCCACCCCTCCTAATTCCCCCTCCCTGAAAAGTCCCTAATTTCTTGCTGTCAATTAGAAAAAAACTCTAAAAAATAAAAACAAGCCCATCTCAAAGGTGTGTTTTTTTAGCACAGTGCTGTGACATAGATCCAAACAAGTAACTCCCAGATTAGGCTGAAGCTAAGTAGCCAGTGCAACACGGTGGTTTTGTTCAAATACATTTGGCTCTTACCAGGGTGCATCCAGCTGTCAATGGAAGAGCCAGAAACACCACACTAGGCAGCTGGTGAGTTGGAAGTTAAAGCTGAACTTTCTACTTGACTACTTTCCTGAGAGGCAGCTTCTTGCAGGGAAGGGATGGCAGCAGGCAGGCTGGGCAGCCTCAGAGATGGAGGATGTAGGTGGATGTTCCTGCACCAAACATGTGGTCAGGCACTGGGAGGGTCTGTGCAGACCACTTGCTGTTCTGTCTCTCTGCTTCTGAGGGCCTTCAGCAGGAGTGGAGGATGCTCAGCATGTCTTCAGAGTGGATCCTTTTACCATAACCACAATCTCATCTCTGCAGTGGCCCTGTACAAACAATTTTCCAAACCCTCAGTGTGCAGAGGCACTTGCTTTTTTGAAGAGGAGGTACTGTACTTAAGATGCTAACATTAAAAGCTGTGGTGAGAGATCTCTATCTTTGTCTCCAACTTGAATTTCCTTGGTGCAACACGGGCACAAGTTGAAGAGGCTCTACAGCCCTCATCTTCAGTGCTGTGGGCTAGGAATGAAGGGTGCCAGTCCCTAGTTATCCCAAATTCCCACCCACTCCTTCCCCTTGTTGCACTCAGGGATAGGAATCATGTCTTCAAGCAGCAGGAGATAGAGGAGACCAGAAGCAGGAAGGTGATGGGGAAAGATCTGTGAGCACCAGCATGGGTCACTACCAGCTTCATTTCCAGTGCTTTGTGCCCCAACACATTTGAGACAAGGAGGGGGGAAACTGGCTTTACACCCTCTGGCAAAATAATGTCCCCTGCAGTGGGAGGAGGGGGACCACATCGTGTCCTTCTGCCACCCTGATGGTCTCATATCACAGGGAGATGAATTCAGAATCCACCCCAAGGCCTTTCTGGCTTCTTGGTGGGGACCAGGCAGGCTATGCTGTCCTGCTACAGTGCATCTCCATGCTTGTGCCTAATAGCTACGTGTTCCTGGGGTGGTCTGGTGGGTCACCTCTCACCCATGTTCCCCTCAGAACAGGCACATGCAGCAGCCAAGAAAGCCTCACATCTCTGCAAAGACAGAGAATTCAAACAGGCCCAAATGCCTGTGAGGAGAGGAGACTGGTTTTGGCTAACCTATAAATAACCATCAGTTCTATAAACATCTGCCAGGCTTGGAAGAAAGTGGAGGCTGTGCCAGGGACCAACCGATAATCCAAGCATTCTGGCAAATAGTGAGATGGCAGTGGCTGTGTGGGCCGTCTCCATGTACAGTATACAAATATTTACTGTAGATTTGCCTGCTGCAGTAGCTATTTGTTCCTAGCAACTATCTGCACCAGCTCTTGTACATTTCTATCATCTCACAATCTGGCTGAACAAGTTGTTGACTTTTTTTTGCTTTACCACCTAATACCATTATTTGCTCCCTTGTCTGTGCATTCTTTGCACCCGTAGAGGACCCCTCAGTGTGAGAGTGCTTTGCAGTCAGATGTGTCAGTTGTCTGTAGGTCTAAGTCATAGTCTTCATTCCCAGAGAAGGAAGGTGAAAGAGAAGAACACCTGAGCCCTCAGCAGAGAGGATAAGGACCTAGAGAATGTCACGCTTTCAAGTAACACAGTTTGAAGAACCCTCTGGAGAACAGACTGTCACCTTTGAGTGACAGACAGATACAGCAGAGCAGAAAAATGCAGGGAGGTGCCCCCACGGGAACAGTCTTTGTCCATCACTGATTGTTTGCCTGCAGAGAGAGCTTTGGTTTGAATATTTCTAGTGACACAAGAAACACAGAGTGGGCTAATCCAGGTGGTGTGAGCCATTCTGGATAGCCACAGTAAAGACCTTGACCTTGACACTGATGGCAGGATGTCCTGACAGAGTAGGAAATGACCAGGCAGGCCAAGGGAAGAAACTCGTCAGCACCTGGCTGATCTGCTTCATCTTTTCTGCATGAAATATTGCTAACCTTAAATTACCTCTTTCTCCCTGCCAGATAGAGTCTTATGCATCTGATCCCTTGGTCTACCATGGTGGCATGAAGGTCTCCTTTGTCATCCAGCTGATGAATGCCATTGCCAGAATTGAACGAGCTCTGCCCAAGTTGACTTTGCCCATCCTGGTGCTACACGGCTCTTCCGACAAGCTCTGCGATATCAGAGGGTCCTATTTACTGATGGACACAGTGCAGAGTCAGGACAAAACGCTCAAGGTCACCTTGCTTTCTTTGCTTTTAGGGTTTTATCCTCTCATTGTTGGGCTGAACATGTGTGACTGTGAGGGCTAGAGTGTTGCTGAGCTCTGGAGAACTGGAGGCAAAGCAGGGCTGATGCACTGGTGAGACCCTTCACCAGGAGGTAGCCCTGCCAAGGCACTGCGTGGTGGCCTTTCACCACCTACAGCTGGGCTGATGAGTGATCTCAAGGCCTGACCCACGAGTGGCTGTGTACCTAGACAGTCTCTTGGACATGAAGCAACTTGGCGTAAAAGTCGAGTAAGGCCCATAAGCAGACAAAGTGCTGACCCCAAAAGCTCTTCTGAACAACACCAACTGTGTGAGCACCAACCTTACCTCATGCCCCAGCATGTAAAGGTACAGGGGGGCCTTCCCAAAGCCCTGCACAACAAAAGCCACTTCACATCTGTTCATTTCAAGAGAGCCACAGCTGATTAACCAATTGTTAGCACATGAATGAGCCTGAAAGAGAGACAGGGAGACCAAGGGAAAGCTTTTATCATTGGAAAAATAACTGGATAGCCTGGGTATAAAAGGAGTAAAATTGCACAAGGCATGAGGGGAACATCCCCCATTGTCCTTTAAACTCCAAGGGCATGGTAAGTATTTCCTCTTTCTTGGTGGGATAGGAAGAAATAAATGCACAGGGTTGGGACAGGCATTATTCCACCCCAAGGGCAGGAGGGTGCTCAGATTTTGTTGAGCTGCAATGCCAATGCCTTCCTGCTCACAGAGGTCCAGCTCCACCAATGGCATCTCTCAGTTGTCATAACCTGCCACATCTAGGCAAAAAAAACTGATCAGGTGTGGGCAGGATATTTTAAATATGCAGGTGTTGACCAGAGAGGCCTGAAGGCTGTTTTGTTCATGCTGATTTTTTTTCTCTGCTAATCTGTGCTCTCTCCCTGCTTGCAGGTGTATGAGGAAGCTTATCATGCCCTCCACAAAGAGCTGCCTGAGGTCACTACCTCTGTCTTCACAGAAATACTAACATGGATTGGCCAGAAGGTCTCAGCAGCTGGAGAAACCAGCCATACTTAAGAGCAATTGTTTTTGCAGCTCTTCCTGGGGTTTTCTGAGAATCAATGCTTTTCTTAATAGAGTCTCTCTGGAAAAGATCTAACAGTAGAGGGACTTTTGGGATGTTTTATCATGCACAGTGTAAGGGAGGACGGGGGGGAGAAGCACAGGGTGGGGGACTATTTGTGATGTAAATGGCCATTGCCCTAATCTGGGGAAGAACTGATAGCTGTGGGAGCAGCCATCAAAGGTCTCCAGGTGGGGCGATTTTACTGAAATGCCCCTCACCTACCAAACTTCCCCCATCACTTCCCCTTCTCTGATTTAGCTGGGGTGCCGGGTGTCTTTATACTGCAATAACTCTTGGTATGTTAAAGAAGGCAGTATCTTCCACTTCATGGTTTTGATTCCAGGTGTGCACAGTCCCTTCCCTGACCCCACCATCCAGTACCTTAAAAGCCCTGGTCCTTGAGCAGTATGAAGGTGCTGGATAACAAGGAGGGGCTAAAAATAGAGCTGACAGCTCCCTGAAGGTGAAAGGCTGGTTTTCAAGGTCAGACCCCTTTGGATACTGCCTTTACAAGCAGGGCAGGAGGAAGCATAAAAAGAGCCTCCCCCACCACCCTGCACGTCCTCTGTGAGTTTGCACTTGGGGAAAGTGTTGAGCAGCTCTTTAATTTTCATCATCAGAGCAGGATCCCAGAGGGGAGAGGAGGAATGTGCAATCAAACCCACTTAGCACATTGAAAACCCATGCTTTTCCCAGTGCCAAACCCCATCTCCTTTGCAAAATGAACTATTCTGTAAATATTCCTAGGGGCTGCTTTATTTCCTTCCTTTTTTTTTTTCCCTTTTTTTTTTCCTTTTTTTTTTTTTTTTTCCTTTTGGAATTAATCACTTATGCTACTGAAGCTGAAAAAGCAAAGTCAAAGTTCTAAGATAATATAGTAATATATGATGTATATAGAGGTGGCTGAGAGCTGGGGAAGGGATGGGAGGAGAGTCTAAAGAAGGGGTTAATTGTTCCTTCTCTTGGCAAGGAATAATGTTGTCCTACAAGGATCCAGTCCTCTCATCATAAATTTACAGTCATAATCTGTTGTTTTCCTTCATCAGTTGGAAAATGTCCGGAAAATAATGCTGGAGAGAAGCACAGAGCATCTGGTGGGTGGGGATTAGCAGTGGGTGTCCTCATGGTCCACTGGTTTAGCAGAAGACCCACTGTGTGAACAGAGATCTTATCCAAGCTCACCCCAATCTCCTCCTAATCAGCACAAGCACTTCTGGGGCAGATCACAGAGCACAGGGGCCAAGTTCACCCCTCTAAGCAGCGTGGGAAGCTGAAGGCAGACTATAGGGTGCCATCATCCATCCAACATCTACCTTGCTGCACTGGGGGCACCCAGGGGCTCTGGTGTACAAGCTGCCTTGGAGGAGCTTGTGAACTGGTCCAGTGGAGCAGACAAGCCAAATCCTAGAGCTGCCTGGGTCTCTGGTAGCAGCATAGCTAAAGGAAAGGTTTAAGACCAGTTATGGAGCAGAGGCATTGTATCCATAGAGCAAAAGATGCATAGGGACCATAGCATGGCTGTCCAGCTCCGTTCGTTCAGGGTGATGGCCCTAGTTTTGAGTACACTTCTTGGCACTAGCCAAAGGGAAGGGGGTTAACCTGTGCCTCTCCCTTCAATTTTGCAAGAAGAAAACACCTGTGAATATTGCACTATGAGAGAGTGGGGCATCTCCCCCAGTGACAAGCCAGCCCAGCAGCAGTGGAACCGTCGCTGTGTCTCATGCCACTGCCCCCAGGGCTGGATCCTGCCTGTGACAGTGACAGGGGGATCACCCACCTCTCCTCCTCTCTTGCCCCAGGTCTAGCAAGATTCAGGAAAGGGACCTTTGTGCAATAACAGAATCAGGGCTCAGTCCCATTTGATCCCAGCAGTGTGGATGGATGAAGGATGTGTGGATGCAGGTGACATCCTTGTATGGGCCCTAGAGGGGCCCAAGTCAGGAAAACGTTTATGCAGGTTGATCCAGGCACTTTCCTATTTGTATTTTCATGCCTCTAAAGAGAGGAATGAGCTGTAGTTTTTTCAGCAACACCAGCTTTTGATTCACTATTCCAGTGCAATCAGCTTTTCCCACAAACTCCTGCTGAACTGCTGGTGATGCTTGCTTTGGGAAGGGAGCAAAGCACAATTGCCTGCTCTGTACCTTCCAGCAGCCTGGCTTGTTGCAGCTTCTTTTCCCCAGGCAAGATCTCTCCTTGCCAGATGCTGCTGGGGAAAGACACCAAGACAACAAACACTACAGCAGTGATAAACTTCACCTGCCTCTTCAGCTGGAAGGGGAATCAAGTAGGCGTGATCCAGTGTGACAGGCATTGTGGGAGTAGTAGCAAGATGATGATGATTTAAGGATGGGATTTTTGAAAGCATTTTTCCCAAGCAAGTCAAGAAGAGCAAATCAATGCCCACATTCTTTACATCCCTTCTCAAATTGACAAGCACTTTGTGGGGGAGGGAAGTGACCCTTCAGGAAGAAGGTCAGAGCCTGTCTGCTCCCTCCAACCTGGCTTCAGGCAGAGGAAGGTCCGTGGTCAGTGCCTTTGATAAAAATGTGTCCTTTCACTCAAGAAACATCTGGCAATCAGCTTTTCCCACAAACTCCTGCTGAACTGCTGGTGATGCTTGCTTTGGGAAGGGAGCAAAGCACAATTGCCTGCTCTGTACCTTCCAGCAGCCTGGCTTGTTGCAGCTTCTTTTCCCCAGGCAAGATCTCTCCTTGCCAGATGCTGCTGGGGAAAGACACCAAGACAACAAACACTACAGCAGTGATAAACTTCACCTGCCTCTTCAGCTGGAAGGGGAATCAAGTAGGCGTGATCCAGTGTGACAGGCATTGTGGGAGTAGTAGCAAGATGATGATGATTTAAGGATGGGATTTTTGAAAGCATTTTTCCCAAGCAAGTCAAGAAGAGCAAATCAATGCCCACATTCTTTACATCCCTTCTCAAATTGACAAGCACTTTGTGGGGGAGGGAAGTGACCCTTCAGGAAGAAGGTCAGAGCCTGTCTGCTCCCTCCAACCTGGCTTCAGGCAGAGGAAGGTCCGTGGTCAGTGCCTTTGATAAAAATGTGTCCTTTCACTCAAGAAACATCTGCAGTTCAGCAGAAAAACAAGGAAACCAGTTACGTTGATCTGGGGAGGGCTTGTCCCTCTGGCTAGCTAAGCTCAGCAATGGCATGTGGCCTGGGGAAGCCATGTTTGAAATCAGGTTAACAAACAGTAAGTTAGAACAACAATAAAAAAGTCAAATAAGCCCCAAGCTCCTGGCACAGCAGGGGCTACTGCTACCCTGGGCCAGTTTTCTGAAGAATTATCTTCTGAGGAAATGAACACAAGGAAACCTACCCAAAGAAGCCCCAAGGAAGGCTGGGCAGCCTGCTCTGGGCACACACCTCCCAGCAGACTGCTGAGCCCAGGGGAGCAGCTCCTGTGTGCAGGTGGGGAGATGAGCACAGAGGGAAGGAGCCAGGAGCAAATCACCCTGGGTCTGCTGAGATGCTGTTTGCACCAGCTGCAGCTCGGCCCTCACTGCTGGTGCTGATCCCTCACCCTGCCTGTAAGCTACTTTATATTGACCCAGTTAGGTTTCACCGTGTCCCAGAGGAATCCTTCCTTCACTGACCAGATTAGCAGTGAGCAGAGCTGCTGCCAAGGGAAATGTAATTCAAGCCTATTTTCAAATGGCAGGTACCATTTGCAGGGAGCACAGCCAGCCTTAGGGGTGTTGCTCTGCCCTTAGAATGGGTGGCACTCGTGACTGAGCAATAGCAACGTGTAACCACTGTACAGATCACCTCCTGTAGCACTGAGAGACCATCCCCCACTACCTAAATCCATCACATTTTCTATTTAGCCTGTTCTTTTTATACCACTCACCTTAGGACACTGCCAGCACAAACCCATGGAGATCACACTTTTCCAAGTAATTTCCTGAGCTTGTCTCTCTTGTTCCATTGTGTTCCAGTTCAATAAAATACATTTATATATATATATACATATATAAAAACATATATGCATACACATGTATTTTCAGTGGGAAAAATCATATACAAGTTTAGGATTCTTAAAGGAATACAATGTATATTGCAACTAATAATAAAGTTATGTTTTCTGAACAGAGTGTGTTTGAGGACATTACTGGTGACTGCCATCCATCTGGAGGGTGAGCAGGGAAAGACAGATACTCAATTGCCATTTGACTTGTGGTGGAGGGGGCTGGAGCCCCCAGGTGCTGCTGAATTGCCAGCATGGCCAGCACCTGCTCCCCAGGAATACAGGGCCAGCCACATCTCATGGGAGGCCTGAAGTTCCCTTTCTGCTTCAAGGCTAGCTTTTCAAAGAGCCCTGAAATCCACAGCCTCATGCCACCATTTGCTATACAGTCCAGAGCAGCACAATGACAGATCAGCTAAGGGCACAGGAGGTGTAAGATACCTTTACATCTAACTTTGACATAGCAGGACTGACTGGCTAATCTCAGAGAAAATCAGATCTACCCAGGTGCTAACTTAAAAAAATTTTGAAAGGTTAAAATAAAAATCCCCTGGCCCAAGTTCTTCCTCACCCCAGACAAAACAGCAGTCCAGAGCTGGTGGAGGAGCAAGCAGGCAAGCTCAGCCTGCTTTCAGACCCCATTCCCATGCTTTTACAAGCCCCTTAGATCCATACCCAATTCAAACAGGAAGCATCTGCACCATGGCCAGGAGCAGCAGCCACTTAAATCCTACCTTTTGCCCCCAGCTGTGACTGCAGAGGGGGCTGGGGAGAAGGGGTTGGTGCTGTCTGAGCTCCCAGGGAATGCCCAGGTGCTGTAAGAGACCCCGGTCCGTCCAGACCCAGGGCTGGTGCTGTCAGGGGACAGTGCTCATGCCTGAGGAGTAGGGCTGGGGCACAGCCCAGCCACAGGGTCCCATCTTGCCTCCCTCCCTGCACAGACGTCAGGACAAGCCACT